CGCCGCCCGTGGGTGTCCTACTGCAGCTCCTGCCATACACACCTGCCGCAGGGAGCGAGCCCACGGGCTCTTTTATGTAATGCGAGGTGGGGAGTCTTCCTGCTGCCAGGTCGGGGGCACTGGCCCCTGAAGGGACTGGGCCCAGAGTTTCCGGAGTGGGGCGTCCAAGACCTACCTCCGCGCCCGGCCACCCGCGCGGGTCTCAGCTGGGTTTAAGCTCTTTCCCAGGAGTCCGGAATAATAGTAGCGGTGATAGTAATAGTGACTAGAGCCAAAATGTGTGTGCCAGTTACTCTTAGGTGGATAATCTCACTGCAGTCCTACATGGCAGGTCCTAGTGTCGTCCCTTTGGTGTAAAGGAGAAAACTGAGGTCCAGAGACCACATTGGTTGCTCAAGGCCACAGCCAGAGGGGGCAGGTGCAGGATTTGAATCCAGGTGGCCCTGCTTCACCCCCTTAACCTCTGAGTGAGTGGGCTGTCTGTCTCACTGGTGGCCTGCTTATCTCAGGAAGAGTGGCAGCCTGGGTCTGGGCTCTGAGACAGCCAGTGACTGAGCTTCTTTTGGGTCCATTTCAGATAGCCATCCGTGCTTGTTTCCTTGGCTTTGTGTTTGGCTGCGGTGTGCTGCTAAGTTTTAGCCAGTCTTCCTGGAATCACTTTGGCTGGTAAGAAGTACTTGGGAATGATGGTGTTGAGGCAATGGTAGACAGAGTACAGGGTCAGTAGTGGCCTTTCCTCAGTCATGTCTGGTCTCGACTGGCAGAAGGCTGTTTAGGGTTCTGTGGAAATGAAGCCTTCTGGCTTCCACCTAGATCCCCAGGTTTCAGACCTTGTAAACTTCACCCATTGGTTGATTCTGTTGCAGAAACAGGTACGCGGCTCCCTCCCCAGAGCTGCCTTCACCCACACTTGCTACACTGGGACAACATTGAGTAAGGCAACAGGCCCTTCCTGGATGAGGGTTAGGTCCTTGGTGAAGGGAAGGGGCAGGGCTCCAGCTGGACTTCCTAAGCCTTTTCCAGCTCCAGTGTCTGTTAGGTCACATCTAATGCATCCTATGGCCAGTGTTGTGTCTCCCCTACACTCTCAGTCCCTTGAGCCTTCTAGTCTCTGACCTGGATATGAACCCTAGCTTCAAGGTAAAAAGCTTTATCTCCTTTTATCACTATACCGATCCATCTAATCCTTCTTTGCTGGAACTAATTTAATTTTCTTGAATTTAATTTCCAACATAAATCACTACTTTTTGTTGATATTTCCCTTTTTCATTTTAAAATGGGTATTGTCATTTTAAAAGAACAGAAGGGCCCATAATGCCTCCTTCGCCTATGGATTTCTTGTTTGATAGTCAAAAAGAGCAGCCAGGTATAGTGGCCAAACTGTAATCCCAGTAACTTGGGAGGCTGAGGCAGAGGGATCACAAGTTCAAGTCCAGCCTCAGCTACTTAGTGAGGCCCTAGGCAATTTAGCCAGACCCTGTCCCAAAAAATGAAACTAAAAAAGAGAGGAGGGACACAGATGTAGCACAGTGGTAGAATTAGGGACAGTGTAGCAGAACCAGATCTGTACTTTTACTGAATGCTAACTTGTTTCTCTCACCCCAATTTACTTTTTTTTTTTTAATAGGTATGTGTGCTCACTGTCATTATTCCACTATTCTGAATACTTAGTGACAGCTGTCAATAATCCCAAAAGCCTGTCATTGGATTCCTTTCTTCTGAATCACAGTCTGGAGTACACAGTGGCTGCTCTTTCTTCTTGGATAGAATTCACACTTGAAAATATCTTTTGGCCAGGTTAGTGTGCCCTACTTTTCCTGCTGGAGGGGAGAAGGATGGCTTCCCTGTGGGCCAAGGACAGTGACATTGGTTCACCTTTTAGATCTAATCTCCCCTGAGCGATTCTCCCCAGCCCTCTGTCCTCACTAAGCTATTTATAAGGACAAGCTGTGCTTGAGAAATGGGCTTCTGGATTTCAAATTGAGGCTGTGTTGACCTTTTGCTTTAAATCCTGCATAATGTAGTTCAACAGCTAAAATGACATCCCCACCTTGATGATTTAATCCTAACTTTGCAGTCAGGTGAAATTTGGATCTGTTCATTGTCTGTGGCTCAAGAAATTTCACAAGGAGATTTGTTAGCAAAACCTCCACATCCGAAGCCTCCTCGGAAACTGAAATCCCATAGCTGATGGAGGAAAGTGTATACGGCTCTTGAAGTCAGGCTGCGGACTGGACCCTTCTCTGCTTCTCCCAGCTGTACTTGTCCCCAAGAGAGGACAAGAGCAAGTGGCCAGGGGGTGAGAGCCCCCATAACTTATTAACTAGGAGGGGAGAACTGCCTCACAGTTGGTTTGTTGGCCCTTGAAACAGATGAATAGTAGTTTAGGGGAGCGTGTTTTCTTATCACTCACTCTTTCATTCATTCACTTTTTGTAGTACTGTGGATTGAACCCAGGGGTGTGCTATTATTGAGCTACATTTACAGCCCCTTTAAAATTTTTTTTTTTTTTTTTATATATTGAGATATGGTTTTGTGAGTTAATGAGGCTCGCCTTGAACTTGTGATACTACTGCCTCAGCCTCTCAAGTAGCTGGACTATAGATATGTGCCACCATGCCTGGCCTCATTCACTTTTCCCCCCGCCCCAATAATTCTCCTTTTATTTTGTTTGCTTTTCATGCGCTAGGGATTAAACCCAGGGCCTCAGAAATGCTAGGCAAGTGCTTTGCCACTGAGCTGTTTCCCTAGCCCTTCATTCACTTTTTTTTTTTTTTTTTACATTTTTATAGTTGTAGATGGACACAATATCTTTATTTTACTTATTTGTTTTTTTATGTGGTGCTGAGGATTGAACCCAGTGCCTCACACGTGCTAGACGAGTGCTCCACCACCAAGCCACAACCTCAGCCCCTCACTTGCTGTTAATGTGATGACAAGTGCTAGTTGCCCAAGGTGTGTTTTCTAGTGGTCTGTCCTTGGGGAAATTGGTGAATTTAATCAGTGAAGAGACAGCTCAGTGGCCCACTGTTCTCACTCCCTGTTTGTACCCCATGCCTCTCTGTAGAACTGAAGCAGATCACCTGGCTCAGCACCATGGGGCTGCTGATGGTGGTCTTTGGAGAGTGCCTGAGGAAGGCTGCCATGTTCACAGCTGGCTCCAACTTCAACCACGTGGTGCAGAATGAAAAGTCAGACACCCACACTCTGGTGACAAGTGGAGTGTATGCATGGTTCCGGCACCCTTCCTACGTGGGGTGGTTTTACTGGAGTATTGGGACTCAGGTAGGTATGGTATCAGATATGAGACTGATATCCTTTAATTTACTTTTTTTTTTTTTTTTCATTTTGGTACTGGGAATTGAACCAAGAGTACTTTATGGCTGAATTACATCTCTAGCCCATTTTTGTTTGTGTGTTTTTGAGACAGGATCTCACTAAGTTTCTTGGGCCTTGCTAAGTTGCTGAGGCTGGCTTTGTAGTCCTCCTGCCTTGGCCTCCCAAGTTGCTGGAATTACAGGTGTGGACCAGCATGCTCCACCTTTAATTACTTTTTTACATTTTAAATATTAAAATATGATTTATATACTATAAAGCTCATCATTCAAAGCATATAATTCACTCTCTTTAGTGTATTTGTAAGGTGGTTTGTCTCCTTTAACATGTGCTCCCTGGCTTATTATAAGTAGTAACTTAATAAAAATCAAGAGAACTATAGTCCTTAGGGGTCTTAATCATGTACTAAAATTTGAGCATTATAAACCTTTCCTGACTCTTGATCCACCATCACCACCACCATAGCCTCTCTCTCTAACCTAGATCTGGAGTGTGTCAGAGGTGAGGAGAAGTGGGTTTTGTGGAGGGAGTGAGTGCACTTGGCCATTTGTGGCAGCTCAGTGGGTTTCACCAGAAGTGGGTCTTAATGAGGCCAAGGTACTGTGTTAGGCTAATGAGAGCCAGGGAGGCTTATTCCGTCTCAGGCTTTCTCTTGACCTGCACTTTTGGTTCTAGAAATGAAGATGAAGACAGTAGTGCTTGGAATATCACTCTGTCTGGGGAAGTGCAGTCAGGGCCCCCAGGAATCTCCTTGGCAATGTTTGGTCAGAGGGGACCATACAGCTGATTCCCAGGGTATAGTAGGGGCAGGTAGCCTTGTAGCATTTCTTTTAAAAATTTGTATTTCTGGCCAGGTGTGGGATGATGTCCATCACCCTGGCCTGAGTATCAAAATCCAAGAGGTTGATCTTTCTTTGTAACTTTTAGATTTCTTACCTTAGAGGAGTTACAGAAAAGTCTATGCAGAATGCTGCAGTGAAGAGTGTCAGGTTTATTTTGTGTGTTTGTGTGTGGTGTGGGGATTGAACTCGGGGCACTCTACAACTGAGCTACATTCTCAGCCCTTTTTATTTTATTTTGAAATAGTCCTTGCTAAGTTGTCCAGGCTGGACTCAAACTTGCAATCCTCCTTCCTCGGCCTCCTGAGTAGTTGGGATGACAGACCTGTGTCACCATGTTCACCTGATGAGTGTGAGTTCTAATGTGAAAGTAGTTTAATTTCTGTTAATGATACCCTGGCTCCCTGAGACCCTAACATTATTTAAAGAGTCTCTGGGATGAGAGTGGAAAGTTTGGAAGCTGGAACCTTTAACATGTGCTCCCTGGCTTATTATAAGTAAAAACTAAATAAAAATCAATTCAATAGGTAATGTCACTACTGCAAAAGGGTTCATTTCTTTTCTTTTCTTTTTTTTTTTTTTTAAGAGAGTAAGAGAGGAGAGAGAGAGAATTTTTAATATTTATTTTTTAGTTCTCGGGGACACAACATCTTTGTTGGTATGTGGTGCTGAGGATCGAACCTGGGCCGCTCGCATGCCAGGCAAGCACACTACCGCTTGAGCCACATCCCCAGCCCAGGGTTCATTTCTTTACCTTTGTTCTGTAACAACAGAGTTTTGTTAGCAGGGAGTTACTTAACAAGCCTAGCCAGGAGGTGGCTCCTGTAATTCCAGCTACTCAGGAGGCTCACACAGGAGGATCACAAACTTGAAGCCAACCTGGGAAGTTTAGACCCTTTCTCAAAAAATAATAATGGTGGCCAGGTGCAGTGGTGCACGCCTGTAGTCTCAGCTGAGATTTGGGAGGCCAAGGCAGGAGGATCACGAGTTCAAAGCCAGCCTCAGCAAAAGCAAGGTGCTAAGCAACTCAGTGACACCCTGTCTCTAAATAAAATACAAAATAGGGCTGGGCTGGGAATGTGGTTCAGTGGTTGAGTGCCCCTGAGTTCAATCCCCAGTACCCACACCCCCCAAAATAATAAGGCTTGGGATAGAGCTAAGTGGTACAACACTTGCCTAGCACTTGCCAGGCCCTGGGTTCAGTCCTCAGAGAAATTCTTAGGGTATTGTCTGGGGTGTAGAACCTCTCTAACCCTGGTCACATCGGTGTTTCCTCTGCCAGGTGATGCTGTGTAACCCCATCTGCGGTGTCGTTTATGCCCTGACAGTGTGGCGATTCTTCCGTGACCGGACAGAGGAAGAAGAAATATCACTGATTCACTTCTTTGGAGAGGAGTACCTGGAGTATAAAAAGAGGGTGCCCACAGGTCTGCCTTTCATAAAGGGAGTCAAGGTGGAGCTATGATGGGCGGGGGCCTCGAGGGACCACGGGCCACTGGCCCCATGTAGCCCAGGACAAAACTGCTTTCAGTTGGCCCCTGAGGAATGAATTTTCTTAATCATTTTGTATGTCACTAATTACTCTTCTGGATGTCACCCCAAGACCAAATGGTCAGAAGGCCTTAGGACCAAAGGACCCCCTGGAGCAATCCGTTCTTTTGCTGAATCAAGGCAGGACATAGATTAACAATGAACAAGAAACAAACTACAGCAATATTCATCCGTGCCCCTTCTCAAGTGCCCTGGTGAGAATCCAGGCCACAGTCCGGTGCCCTGAGGCCAGAGTGTATTTGCGTTGTCCCAGGTCTCCCCAGGAGAGGCGGATGCTGCTGCTGCAGAGCTTCTGCCGCAGAAACAGTGGTGGGTGTGTCGCTGCTTATCAGCATTAAAAAATGTGTTGAAAACCTTTAATTTAACACAAACAACAGCACAGCTTTAACCTCTTTATTCTGTCCTTATGCATGAACATCTATATAATTCTAATGATACTTCCTTATATGACACTTTGGCTCTTCATACATTTAATCGTATTTACAAGCTATTTTTTATAAATAGCAGCATAAATTCAAAGGAGCTTACTTGGTATTTCTAGTTCCAGCTTTGATCTGGCAGCAAGTAGGCACAGCCCTCTCTGATTTGGCTGTGTAGCATTGTGTGACCTTGGGCACCCCAGGCCAAGGGACTGTGGGTCCTTGGGCTTTCCTGGAGTTTTGGTTCCTGCTCTCCTGCTATGGTGACAGGCAAGTCAAAGATGTGTTTATTTTTCCCTTCTCCAAGAAGTGCTTACTGAATGCCTGCTCTGTGTAAGGCATCGTGAAACACTGAGAAATACTGCTGTTTTATTTGTGGTTTTATTCTCATTTTAATAACTTGTATTTTTGTGTTTCAATGTAAATCTGTGAAACTTTTTTTTTTTTCCTCTCAAAATTACATTTTTCCCTGTGCTGCGTCAGGCAATCTTTTCTAAAAGGTTTTAGCAGCACCTACAACTGCAAATTCAGGCAAAGCAATTCAAAAATCCTCTGTAAAGCAGATCCTCACAAGTGAGGTTCAGTCAGCGTTTTTGTTTTGCAAGTCTGGGGAGAGCAGTTGGCTCTCTGAGTCAAGCCTCAAAGCCTTAAGAGGTGAGACCTTTGTCTAGTCCTGGACTGGACAGGAACTTGGTCTCCTTGTGAAATCCTTCCTGGCAGTTTGTAGTGGTGCTAATGAAGCACGAATGTGAAGGTGGCATTGGTGTGTGCCCAGAGCGCTGCTCGGTCACCACTATGCCGCATGGCTTTTGAGGAGCCACTGAACCCATGCTCAGACTTCCCCATCTGCAGAATGGGGTCAATACCACCTACCTCACAGGGGTGTTGTGAGGACTTAGAAGAACAATGTTGAACATTTTTAATTCTTAGAGGGATGACATAATGAAATTATACAGTGTGAGCTACGTGGAGATGGATTTGGTTAGCTGTGCACATAACCTAAAGTGTGTGTTCAAAAGAGCATTTTCCCAGCTCAGAAATGTTACTTATTTCTAGATCTCATGGCTTAATTTTTTTGTTGTTAGGTATACCAAAGAGGCTTATGGGTTTGTCGATTACCAGCATGATGCTTGCTGGTCTGAGAACCGCGGCCCTCACGGCAGGGTGTGAGGCAGGGCGTCTGGCAAGTCCACGGCTGCAGCAGCACTGAGTTCCTGTGGTGGGAACCATGTCTGTCAGGGCACGGTACGCCTGCACTCAATTCTGGGACCCTGAGTCAGGCCGTCAGCTTTTGCAGACCACACTTACCAGGACTACAGACTGACAAGGGTGTGGTTGGGTTTTTGGCAGCCATCGCCAGCTTTTCAAGGGAAAGTTCTTTCTCACTGCATTTAAGCAAGACTGGACCCAGCCTCCATTCCCCTTAGGGGCCGCGAGGTTGTTTCTGATGGATGGAGAGCAGCTAATGATGGCCCCTGGTGTATAGGTGGTAAGGCTGGGTGTTGGCATTTGATGTCAGCATCCATCTGCTGGAGGGCAGGAAGCCTGCCTCCTTGCCAGGCCCAGGAGCAAAGGATCCTAGGTCTTGAGGTTCCACAGTGATGCTGCCTCACACCACTGGAGGCTGACTACGTCCTATTTTAAAGAGTAATTTCTGTGGTATGGGTAGTGAGAGGACTCCTACCCTCACTGTAATCCCAGGCAGGAGACGGCCATTGCTTAGGGATGAAAGGTGAACTGTGAGTTGACCTTGCCTGCTGCTGTGATCTGGAGATTATTTTTTCAAATGTAGCAGTGACAGGCCTGTGGCAGAGAATCAGGTCAATGAGCAAAGGCTTTTCAGGTACTTGCTGTAAAGGCCATGTTACCAGTTTCCTCACATTGAGAAACTGTCAGATTTCTTTGCAAGTTTGAAAGTGGATATTCTTAAATGAAGAATGGGTACTGCACAGAAAGAAAGCTTCTTTGAAACAGCATAAAATGAGATCTGCAGGCTGCTGCTGAGCAGAGGAGAGTTGAAGTTGGTGAAGAGGTAGAAGGTGAGCCCCTGAGGCGTGTCCCTGGTGTCCCTCCTTGGCACGAGCTGCTTCTTAAGCCTAGAAAGTATGCTTTATTGATGGCTCACTTACTTACCAACTGGGGATTGGTATGACAGGAAAACGTTCTTAGACCACTGAGCTGTGTCCGTGTCACTTGGTGAGGTCTCAGCCAGAGCTCCTTGGTCACATCCTGCACAGGCACGGTGAGCCCCTGTTCCCTCTGCACTTTCTCACTGCCTTAGGTAGTTGCACCCACCCTAGTTTGCTTTCCTAGTGGCTCAGCAGGGCTAGAGACCTCAGCCTCTCTGAGTGGTGGGAAGCGCTTGCTCTGTGGCTGCTTGTCCTGGGCCTGGAAGATCCCGCCAGCCTGAGGGAGGCAGCCCATCCCGTCACAAGGAGAGGGACTTACAGAGTAATTATTCTACTCTTTTTACATGCAGAAATGTTTATTTAAATATTTTCAATTGGATTTTCTTTCACAGATACTGATTATTCTTTCCAATTCTTAAATAAATAAAACTGTACTTGATTTCACTACAGATGACAGTGTGATTGTGTGGGATGTGGAAGCAGGAGGTGATCACACACCTCTGATGACCTGGTTAAGGGAGGTCTGGAGCTGCCGGCATCAGGTCAGGCCGGCTGTGCCTCCTTGGCCTGCTCCGAGGTCCTGCCTCTGCCCAGTTCCTAAGGACGGGTTCCTCTTGCCTTAGGCTGTCATGCAGGTTTGTGCTCCTTTGGGATGTGGACTTCAGTATTTCTTTATGGATGTGCAGGCCTCCAGTTGAGACCATGGAATCGACTTGAATGTTTGCCTAAAATGTGACTATCTGGGCATCAAACTTGAATGTTAAGTCTCACAGATGGTTTTGTTAAGCACTCGTTAAGAAGGTTGCTTAATGGAAGCTGGCTGGGAGAGACTGCTGGGAGACGGCCTGCTGCACTGGGCTTTCCTTGCCACGAGAGGCACAAAGGACAGTGAAGGTGGCTGGGGAAAGCCCCAGGTGTAAAGTGGAAATCTGCACAGGGCTGGCCAGAGGCCGTCCCAGCTTCACAACCTCTGCCCTTGCCATGTTGTGAGTCACTGCTCAGATTACTGGGTGGAACGTTCTGGTTGCACCAGGTCTACAGTGGGCTGTGTAGCAGGAGAAACTGGATTCCTTGGCAGCAGAGTGGGTGCTGTGCCTGATAGAGTCTTGTTATCTAAAACAGATGGCATCAGAGTACAGGGCTCAGCCCCAGCACCATGAGCGGTGCTGAGCAAGGCGCATTGCAGTCAGCGTGTTTGCTGGTTGGACGTGTCCCCCCAGGAGTGGGAAATCATCCCCATGTGAGCTTGTGCCCTGGGAACACGGAGGAGTGCAGCAGCCTAGCCTGGCTTTACTTTTCAATCAAGTGTCACCTTTGAAAGAAGTGACCATAATGAGAACAACCTTTTCTTAAGTGTCCCAGTCTCGATGTGTTCGTTGTGAGTCCAGCTGGTTGTATGGGGCTAAGTTGGCTGCTCTCTGCATGTGGGGAGGTCATCCCCATTTTTCTGCTTGGATCTGAGATGGTCTCGGTTCTTCAGTGGAGGATCTTCTGAGACGCCACTCAGAGCCCTGCTGCTTCCTTTGGACTCCGAGGTCTTCTCTCCCTTCTCCACGGCACTTCCTGGATCATTCCTAAAGGAACAATTTAACATAAGCTCATCTACTCTGCTCCCCTTACTTCACTGGTGTCCAGTCTGTCCAAAGATTTCACAATGGAAAACTTTTGGAAGTCCCCAGTAGGTGACTGCGTCTCACACCCAGAAGTGCCTGCGACTTATCAAGGATTCTCAGAGTGAAAGCCTTTCCCCAGGACAAGGTGGTTAGCTGCCCAAACATGAGCATATTCAGGTGGTTTCAGCAACTTCTGGCAGTGAACTCTGGATCCAAGGTCCCCTGAAGCCTTGCAGGGGAGGGTGGGACTCGTCTCTGCATTGTCCCCAAGCACACTAGAATTCTAGACACTTCAGCTAATTGCTAGACTTCCCCTGACCTGTGACTAAAACCAGCCTGTGACCTATCATACTGCACTCTGTCTCTGCATCGCAAGTATTTAGGCAAACACTGGCTCCCAGGAGAGTGACACCACCCAATCCTCCTCAGCCATTCCTCAGTCGCTTGTAAAGCTTGCAGCCCTTGGTGGTGTAAGGGAATGCAGGCAGCTCCCTAGGCCATTTATCATTGTGTTACGTCCTATCAAAGTCCCATGTATCATCTAGGAAGTCACTGGTTTAAGCACCCATCCAAGTTAAAAGCCTCCCTGACCTTTTTTACAAACCGTAATCTGGCTGAGGCCACAGAGCTGATGGGTGGCGAGCTGGCCCATGGGGCGATGAAGCCCATCCACTTTCCTTGCATTTGCCTCTGACATCAAATTCCTTGCCACTGTTGGGCTGGGAAGACCTGCATTACCTGGCCAGGGTCTCGCTACTCCTGCTGCCATCATACGTGCTTTGTAGAGTCTCTGACTGTTCATCCACAGGCAGCTGAAACCTGGGTGAGAGACACGGGCACCAAGACTGGGAGGTGACAGAGGCAGCCCACTGCGTGGCTCCAGGCCTTTGGCACCCAAAGCAAGCTTAAGCCAACGCTCCAGGGCCCACCTGAGCTTCCCTCTTGTAGCCCTGGAACAGTTACCAAGGCCCAGTGGTTTTCCAGGGCCCAGTAAGTCACAGGTGACAGTAGAAGACAGGGGAAGTCAGGCCTGGCTCTTGTGAAGCTACTTGCTGTTTAGGGAGGTACCTCAAGGTGGGACAGAAGCAGAGTGGCCAGGCAGTGTAGTGACAATGAGCAATTCCTGCTCTAATCAGGGTGGTTTGGGAGGCCTCTGCTGACGTTCCATCTGAGACCCGAGTGAGGAGAACCTCAGGACAACCTAAGTAAGAACCTTCATCAGGGGCCAAGAAGTGAGAGCTAGTCTAGCTTTGGGGGAACTGAAAGGCCATTGTGACCATAGTGTTGTGAGGGGCCAACATGGTCAGAGGTGGACAGGAAAGGGCCCCTGGGAGAGCTATCAGGCCTTGTGGTGGTAGGAATAATAGACTCAAAAGATCATTGGCTGGGCACAGTGGTGTACACCTATAATCCCAGCTACTCGGGAGGCTGAGACAGGAGGATTGCAAGTTTGAGACCAGCCTCAACAATTTAACAAGACCCTATCATAAAATTTTAAAAATTTTTTTTTAAAAAGAGCTTAGTGCAGTGGCGCATTCCTGTAATCCCAGAGGCTTAGGAGGCTGAGGCAAGTGGGGAGAATCTCCAGTTCAAAGCTCACCTCAGCAACAGCAAGGTGCTAAGCAACTCAGACCCCGTCTCTATAAATACAAAATAGGGCTGGGGGTGTGGCTCAGTGGTACAGTGTTCCTGGATTTAATTCTGAGTACCCCACCACCACCAAAAAACAAACAAAAACCCAAAAGATCACTGGCTGAACGGCATGCTGAAGGGATGCCTGGCTGTGGGGCTTGGTATTTGGTCAGAAGAGATCAAAGTGGGAAGACTGCACTGGAGAGTTTAGTCCACAAAACTTGGAGACTGGTTGGAAATGGGGTGAGTGAGAAGGAGTCAGGAAATCTCCTAGCTGCCTTGTTGGAGTTCCTGCCATCCCTTGAGTGTGTGCGATACTGTTGACGGAGATAAGGAGACAGGCCTGGTGTGTGCGGGGAGGACACCAAGAGTCCTGCTGGCCACTCTTCTGAGCTGAGGTGCCTCTTAGACATCCAGGCCGAGACTCCAGGGAGGAGGCAGTTGGAGGTGAGTGTGGAGTAGGAGAGCACGGTGCTGGGGAGGGATTGTGGGGGTGGGATGTCATCTGCCTGGCGATGGGGCTTTACAGCCAGGGATGCTGGGCTGGCGGTGTAGCTAGCACTACAGCATGTGCTCAGCTTACTCGAGAGCCTGGGTTCAATCAGGAGAGGACACCAACATGGCAGAAGCCGGCCATCAGACCCAGGGCCAGCTGTGCACTGACGGCCCACCACGAGAACCCTCAGGAGGCAGGGAACTGGTAGTCTCAGGACCTCTCGACAGTAAGGGTGGGACCCAGATAGGATGCGCTGGTGAGAGTTGAGCTCTTTCTCACTGTGCAGAAGTCTGAAAGTTAATTCTTAGAGGGCACAAGCCACAGCTGAGAAGTAAACAGAAAGCCAGGACTAAATGGAATGTATATAAAACTCCACAGAAAGGCCCTCCAGGAGGGCGACTGGAAAAGAACCTGACATTGGGCGTTCCAAAAACACAAGAACACACCCCACGTCCCCTGAGCCACCCTGCAGACCCCTTCCAGTGAAGCACCAGCTACAGTGTGCCCAGAGCTTCCATCTGTCGCTGTGCCTCCAGCCCCACTCACTCCTGAACCGAGCAGACATCCGACATCCGAGGAGAGCCTTGACCGTGGGAGACAGGGACAAAACAAACAAAAAGTAACGTGGAGAAGACATTAGGGATAAAACTTCCAAAAGAAAAAAACACAACTACCTATCAGTTTCAGAGGAGTAAGAGAGTGTCTCCAGAAAAAAAAAAAAAAAAAAAAGAATACAATGGAGAAAGAATTAGAGTAGGAAAAATCCTCTTAGAATTAAAACCAAGCTAGAAACAATCAGCTTGTCAGAAGGTAAATCCCACTGAAAGTATAAGACAGAGAATGTAAAAAGAAGGGCTGACATCCAACAACAGGAATTCCAAAAGGAGAAACAGGGGAGAAACCAACTAATTAAAAATGAAATATGTCAGGGTGCAGTGGTGCGCACCTCTAATCTCAATGACTCGGGAGGCTGAGGTGGGAAGATCTCAAGTTTGAGGTCAGCCTCAGCAATTTAGTGATAACCTATCTCAAAAAATGAGAAGGCTGGGGATGTAGCTCAGTGATAGAGTGCCCCTGGATTCAATCCCCAGTACCACAAGGAAGGAAGGAAGGAAGAAAAAAGTCAAAACAGGACATGAATTTCCAGAATGAGTACCCAAGGACACCAAGTACATACACCAAATATACCAACATCTAAACCAATGGATGGAAATAGACTCTTGGCAATGTGAAATTTAGGCCACAGGAACGAGAGAAGATTCTACAAGCTTCCACAGAGAATAAGTAGGTCACCTTACAAGGATTAGGAAGCAATGCCTTCAGACTTTTCAAAAACATCCTTTGAAACTAAAAGATAATCAAGCAATGCTTTCAAAGGAAAGTCCTTCCCAGTCTAGAATTTCCAGTCTAGAATTCAAGACTCAGTGAAACCATCAGTCAAGTGTGAGGTGGAAAAGAGACATCTTAAGACCTGTGCTGTCCAAAATGTGCTTCCTGAACCTCCATTCTCCAGAAGCTGCTGGGGGAAGGGCTCCACCAAACATGACCAAGGAAATGGGCACATGAGACAAGGGCAGGGCAGATGGGATCCAGGAGGGTGGTGCAGAGAGTCCAGGCCCCAGCTGTGCACCTGTGCACCTGGGGCTGCGTGAAGGAGAGACGGGCACATGAAGATCTCTGTGCCACTCCTCAATCCCAGTCCTGGGGATTAAATCCAGGGAACTCTATCTCTGAGCTGCATCCCCAGCCCTTTTAGTTTTTACTTTAAGACAGGGTCTTACTAAATTGCCCAGGCTGGTTCAAACTTGCTATCCTACTGCCTCTGCCTCCCAAATCACTGGGATTACAGGCATGCGTTATCGATCCCGGCACAGAATGCTTTTTTTTTTTTTAGTTGTCAATGGAACTTAATTTTTATTTATTTATATGCAGTGCTGAGAACTAACCCAGTGCCTCACACATGCTAGGCAAGCACTCTACCACTGAGCCACCACCACAGCCCCCTGGCACACATTTTGATGCCTGCCTACAGTGCTGAGAGGGGCCTGCTCCAGACCTCGCTTGTCCTGACATGTGCTGATGAAGTTCCTGTTCCCTCCTTCATGTCTGCTGCTTGGATATGACACTCTCAAGATGTTCTGTCTGCCTATATTTTTTAAGTAGGGTCTCACTAAGTTGCTGAGGGCCTAATTTTGCTGGGTATAGCCTCAAACATGCAATCCTCCTGCCTCAGCCTCCCAAGTCACTGGGATCACAGGTATGTGCCATTGCACCTGGCTGTTCCTTCTGCTTCCACCTACTACTACTATTTTTTTTTTTAATTTTAGGTGGATACGATATCTTTATTTTATTTTTATGTGGTGCTAAGGATTGAACCCAGTGCCTCATGCACGCTAGGTGAGCGCTCTACCACTGAGCCACAATGCTAGTCCTTCCACCTACTTCTGAGGGCTGCCGGGAGCCATCCTGTGCCTGCTGAGCAGACCACTTACTATGACCACATTTTTGCAGCTATCTAACAGCTGGTTGGTTTGTCCAGAACCCTGATTACCTGCCTGCTGACTGTCCTGAAAAGGGCCCTTCTGAGGTATGTCACCTTATCCACATGCATGCTGAAGTGCCCTGGTAACACCCGCTGGCCTTACCTGGGCTCCAGCCGTTCCTTCACCTTGGCGATGGAGCGGACGTAGGGTGTGATCTGCTTGGTGATGGTGGTCAGGTGGGCATTCTCCTGCTTCAGCTGGAGAAGGTCATGGAGCTGGGCTGTGGAGCCCAAGGCCAGAGTGTTGGTCTTGCTGGCATTAGACTCTAAAACTCAAGCCCAGCACCATCTAAAGACCCCAACGGTTTGAATGGTCATCTCTAATGAGTGGGTGGGGCACTTGGTGGGACATCCTACTCACCGCCTCCTGACCTTACATGCACACGTGGGCCTGTTAGCAGGTGTGAGGCCAAGCCAAGCCCCCAGGGGAGAAGCAGGTGTGTAAGTCTGGTTAGTGTCTGACTAGCTCCCCGCTAGCAGGTGGGTCAGCTGCCGCACAGGGCTTCACTAGTGGCCAGCTTCCTGGACCTTCATAAACCTCCTGCTCATTGGCTACTCGCTGGTAGGATTCCTCCCAAATCTGAAAGAGACAAGTGAGATGCTAGATGTGGCATTGGTGGCATTTCTACCTCAGCCATTCAGAGCCGTACAGTTTCCCCAGCAGGGCCCATGTCATTCCTGTGGCCAAGACTCCAGGTTCCAGAACCTGCTACGTGGGAGTCTGGAGGAGCCGCAGGCCAGGCTCTGTTTCACCCCGCCTCCCTGCCCCACCTTGGGTAGCCCATGTTCTTTTGACAGGCAGGGCTGCAGCCCTGTTCCTAGGGAGAGCTACCTCTTGGAAGATGGCTCTCATGCCCTCCACAGAGCTGTACTCAGAGGTGATCCGTGTGTCCAGCCGCAGGGACCTGCTCAGGATGTCCCCCATGATCTCGGCCTTGATGAGGGAGTGGTGTCTCGTGAGGTCGCGGTGCAATTCCTGCACCTGGTCCTTCAGGTTCTGCACCTCCGCCTGCAGCCCCTGCATGCAGAGGCCAGGAGGGCTGGGGTCACTGCAGGAGCCCCTCTGGAGGGGTAACTACAAGGAGGGCCCTGCAGGGCCCCAGCCCCTCACCCGGTAGGAGTCCTCATAGTGGCGGCAGTGCTCTGTGAAGGGAGTGTCCTCGCCCTCAGCCAGGAGCACCTTGGTGCTGATGGAGCGGTGCAGCGTGGGCTTCTGGACTGGGGACCCTGGTGTCTTTCTCACTGGGGAGGGGCATCTGGGCCCCATCAGCACCTTGGGTCCTGCACCCCCTGCCAGCCTGGGGGAAGAGCCAGTGTGGATGCAAGACAGGCAGTGCCGCTCTTCCCTTCCCCTGCCTCCAGGGTGCCGGTGCTCCACTACCCTGTCAACCCCACGCAGGGCACAACCACTCAGCTCTGGAAAGACATTCTGGAAAGACATTCCATACCCAGTGACACTGACATCTATGATTTTCTTCCCCTGGTACCAGGGAATTGGACCAGAGGTGCTTATCACTGAGCCACATCCCCAGCCCTTTTTATGTTTTGTTTTGAGAGAGTACCTTGCTAAATTTATATTTTATATTTATATTTTAGTTGTGGTTGGACACAATACCTTTATTTTTGTTCTCTTATTTTATATGTGGTGTTGAGAATTGAACCCAGGGCCTCCCCTGGGCTAGGGGAGCAGGCCACCCCTGAGCCACACCCCCAGCCCCTGCTGGTAGGTTTTAAAGGTCCTCTCAGATGCGGTGTTAATGTGGGAGGAGGGCAAGTCCCACTGCATTCCCAGGGGCATGGGGTACCAGTGTGCTCACTGCCATGCTGGGCAGAGAAAGTCTGAGCCCACACCAGGTTCTCCCGCTCTCTGGGGCTTTTAGGCCACACA